AACCTGTATGCACTTTTTTAACTAGCACAATATTTTAGGGAGCAGACTAACTACCAGCCTGGCAAAAATATGCAGCCTGGCAGCACAGGCTCGATGTCGGATGTCGCTGCATGGTATAACATTACTGTTTTCTCAGCTGTATGTGGCCTTTCTGGGCTCCCATATATTTTGCATAGAATAGTCGGTCACCATTTGCAGACGGTGTTGGATTTTTGTTATTGTGTGTGTGGAAGCCAGAGGTGCATGTGTGTGGAAGCGATGGTCGTGTATCTGGAACCTTTAAGCATTTTTTAACTAGCGCAATATTTTAGGGAACAGACTGATCACCAGCCTGGCAAAATACGCAGCCTGGCAGCACAGGCTCGATGTCTTATGTCGCTGTATGGTATGATGTTGGCCCAGGTGGACTCCCTTTCCTCCAGGTTATGAAGTACTCAAAACAGGGCAAAAAAAAATTATGGTCATTGGTTGAGCGTTTTCGTGACTTCGGTTGGCTGGAGTGACGTCACTGTTCCGACCAAAACCGAACCAAGGAGGGCGCTAGCGTGCATGTGTGCTTTTGTACATACGTACGCACGACACGGTTATAAGGAACTGATGAAAAGAGTCTACAAAAACGTACAAGTTTAACATTGCTTTAGAGTTTATTTTCCTGATGAACGTCAGTCAGCATAGCATATGGAACTCCTGAACCCCTGGATGCATAGATAGGGACACATAAAGTATGTGGGCGTGAATAAGCTTCCATAACTGAAGGATATTTTTGAGAGTTTTAACTCTTTCGCTACGGAATTTAATTTACCTTTTTCGTCCCAACTGGACGTAATTCAAAGCTGAAAATTCCGCCGAGCGTCGATGTGGGCGCCGCCATCTTTGAATGTATCTCCGTAAACAAACTGCTCACAATAACAAAAAGTGCACCCCAGCCAGACGGAGAGCCGCTGGCAGCGGCTCGAACTAGGGTCAGAGGTTATATGATATAAATTATGTAGATATGGCCCACGTCATGGGGACATCCTGTTTATTCATAGCGACGCAACCGAGCCGCTGCCAGCGGCTCTCCGTACGACCTGTACAATTTGTATGAGCCGCCGTGAGCGGCTCGCCGTAGCGAAAGAGTTAAGGGGATCGAAGCGTCATCATCTGCAACATCAGCCGACATTTGAAGAAAAAAAAGTAGGGGGGAAGAAAAAGCCGCGTCGCCGCACCACTTTTAGGGCAAGCTCCATACCAGAAACTGACAAATTTTTTGGGGGGGACCTTAGTAGACTTCTCTGAATCCGAATAACACCTGCTTTTGTCATTTTAGAAAGTTTTACAAGGTGGAAAATGCGATTTTCTTACGCGGGTTATGTTTTGTCTGGTTCAAAACTACCCCAACCCCTGTCCCGCCACCAGGCGCATTGATGTGTATAAAGGGGTATTGCGCAATCTGGTATTTCTTCACACATTAACACCAGGTTTCTCTAAATAATCTGTCTGCGACATGGCAGGTTGTTGAGAATGTGGCACAACAAGCAGCGTACAAGTAGAATGTGTTTAGCCATGGGAAAAAGTGTCCTAAACTTAACAATCGCAATAAAAGAACAAAAACAATGGCAGGCTGTTTCGGCTGGATGCCAAAACAGCCAACAAATCGTTTTCGCACGCCTTTTTCCAAAGCCCCAATGCTCAAGTTTTTATTTTAATCAATTGGAACGCCAGGCGTTACTGGCGAGAAATGTGTGGGAACATATCAGACAAAGGAACTTTTTCAAACCACCAAAAATAAAAAATATATTCCCACGCCCTTTTCCAGAGCACATTGCTCGATCAGTTAGATTCATCAACTACAGCGCTGAGCATTACCAGCGAGAGAATGTACGAAAATATAGGGCAAACAACGGAACGGAACTTCTGCAAGCCAAAAAAGGCAGCTGCTTTTGAGTTTATATACTGGAGACCACGAATTCCAGCGAATGCAAATCACAAAGCGTCGCCGCTTGGCATTATACTTTGTTTTATTCTCACTCGCAAACAAAAATTTTTATCCATTATACAGCAAATGTTAAACACAAAGTAAAACCACAATTGGGAGATTTATTTTGACGATAATCTTACGTATTTTGATACAGTCGATGATACTCTCGATCTTCCCCAATATCAAAATTTTCGATATTTCAATATGGTAAAAAGAATGATATCGGTGATATCGATATCAAAACAATATCGAATTGTCGAGTAATATCGATATATCAACTGTGCTTAACACATCCCAGCCTAGGTACAAACCAACTTTCAACCCAATCGTTCTGTAGATTTAGGCCTTCACAATACGCACCTATAATGTAATGTCATGTGACATGTGACGAAGTCATGATGATGTCAATTTCCGACACCAATTTACAGGTGCTGGGAAAGTGTGTGCCAAGTATAAAGGAAATCAGATTGATTCTAGTGCCCAAAGTACCGGTGTAGCATGATTTTAGGTTTTATGAAATACGGACTCATTGGTGGTATTACGCATGCTCACGCATAGATTATTGGGAGAGGGACCGGTCACGTGAGAGGGTTTAACCAATACAAGGGAAAAAGAGTCCGATTTTCATACGAGTCCGATTTTCATGCGACACTGGGAACAAAAAAATGACTGAAAAAGAAAAAAAGGGGGGGGGGGAATCTTAACAAATACAAAGGCTGTTTTCAGCATGTTTGCCGAAACAGCCCCAAACAAATCTTTACAAAAACAAAGGCTATTTTGGCAAATGTGCCAAAACAGCCAACTAGATTAATGTTTGTGGACAAACACATGGCTGTTTCAGCATTTTGTCATTGTATTTTTATGCCCCGCGGCGAAGCCGAAGGGGCATACTGTTTCCGCCTTGTCCTTCCGTGGGTGGGTGGGTGTGTGTCTGTGTGGGTGGGTGGGTGGGTGTGTGGGTGTGGGTGTGTGTGTCCGGACAAATCTTGTCAGCGCGATAACTTGAGAAATACTTTACATATGAACTTCAAATTTGGTTTGTGGATTGTCCTTGGTAATTCTAAGAAGCCTTTTGCATTTGGGGCCATAGGTCAAGGGTCAAGGTCACAGTGGCTGAAACAATAGAAATTTTGTCAGCGCGATAACTTGAGAAATACTTTACATATGAACTTCAAAATGGTTTGTGGATTGTCCTTGGGAATTCTAAGAAGCCTTTTGCATTTGGGGCCAAAAGGTCAAGGGTCAAGGTCACAGTGGCTGAAACAATAGAAATTTTGTCAGCGCGATAACTTGAGAAATACTTTACATATGAACTTCAAATTTGGTTTGTGGATTGTCCTTGGTAATCCTAAGAAGCCTTTTGCATTTGGGGCCAAAAGGTCAAGGGTCAAGGTCACAGTGGCAAAAACAAAAGAAATTTTGTCAGCGTGATAACTTGAGATATACTTTACATATAAATTTCAAATTTGGTTTGTGGATTGTCCTTGGCAATCCTAAGAAGCCTATCGCATTGGGGGTCGAAAGGTCAAGGGTCAAGGTCACAGTGGCTAAAACAATAGAAATCTTTTATTTATTCTGAGATCATAGGGATTAGGGATTAATTCATATAAAACCTACAGAAGACACTAATGCTGTCAAGAACGTTCCATTTGACCAAGGTACATGTAAGTTGATGTTAGAGTTGTGTTATGTCATGGAAACAGTCACGGTTGCGGGGCATTTGTGTTTGTAAACACACCTGACTTGTTTTGTCATGTTATAGACTGATAGGACATAGATGTGCGGTAGAAAGTTGCAGAGTGATCAAGGCCAATAGTTCCTTAGATAACGGCTTTGAAATGGACATTTAACGTGACGTCACATTGTAACTTCCAGTCTCGGGACATCATCAATCTTTCTCCCACGCGACTTGTTCTTAGCGAGAAGCTGATTATATAGATCAGTTATAAAGGGATTTTAGCAAACTTTGCAACATCAACTGTTTATTCATTTAAACATTTTTCAACTAGCTGCTAGAGGGTGCTCTAACATTTTATTACGTCACTGGTAATTTGTTTTGTAAAGCACCACCTAGTCAGAGACTAACATCGTTGAAAGCCAATTCACATCTTTTTCCACTTTAAATTGCAAGACGCTTCCAGTTTGGACTGAAAGGAAGGGTCATGTGATTTGGCACGCACAAGATAAAATGAAGATCCTGGATTATTCTATCAATACCCACAAACATCAAGTTCAGGTCTCTCACAATTGATATTATATTGATTTTCAAAGATTAAATCTATTAATCTTTAACATGAGGTCACGTGACCTATGATGATGTCATCGTGATATCACTTCAGTTTTCATCTATAACACATCCCGGTCGAGATACATACTACATTTCAACCCAATCGAACTTGTAGTTCTGTAGATATAGGCCTTTATTAAATATAAGCACTTTTTAAATGTGACGTCATGTAACTCATGATGACGTCGTGATGACGTCAATGTTCAACACATTTTTGGGTGGTGGTCTAAGTGTGTGTGCCAGGTACAAAGGCAATCGGATTGACGTTAGTACCCAAAGTGCCGATAAAAAAAATGTACAAATGATATGGGCAAAAAGACTGAAAAAACAAAGGCTGTTTCGGCAAATGCGCTGAAACAGTAAGGCTGTTTCGGCAAATGTGCCGAAACAGCCAAAAAGGAAAAATTGTAATGAAAACAAAGGCTGTTTTTGGCATGTCTACCGAAACAGCAAATGAAACAAATTACAAATACGAATTGCTTTGTTTGTTAATTTTAATAAAATCATTACTTTTTTTATAATAGCATAAAGATGAACATGGATCTCGGGCCATTGAATTTGTATGTACATTGTATGTGATTGACACAATACATGTAGATAGCCGGCAGTCATTAGCTACGAAAGTGTGATCAAGCACTGTCAATGGATTTTGATTTTTTAATTTTATGTTTATAAAAGTGTAATGTTACATCCTTACGTGAAGTTGATGTATGTTTTTAAACATAAATAACATTTTAATAATTATGTTTGCAGTATGATACCTGGAACTCAGCTCAAAGCATAATCTGTGTGTGGAATATCAACAATTCATCACAGCCGTATCGGTAAGTGAAAGTTCTTGTATGTATCCTTTTCTTTCGTGTCTGAACATCTTATGATTGGATGTTTTGGTATCGAATTATTTTGTGAAGTTGATTTCACACAGTCACTTGCCTAAAAATTTCAATCAAGAGAATGTACTCTGACAAAAAATTGCCTTGTTAACCAATGTCAAATACTCTATCTTTCTAAAAGCAGGAACATGGGTGGAACCAGACTCTAAAAAAGTGGGGGGGGGGGCAAGGAAATATTTTGGGGCAAACAAAATAAAATCTTAAGCCTGTGTATGCATGCAGGCCAATTGTCAATGGTCCAGAAATAAGCAACTAGAGCAACTTAGTAGTGTAGTCGTTTTTATCAATGAAAAATGTATTACTCCGAAAAATGGTGTATAACAAATATATAACAAATGTACAAAGACTGCACACTGGCAACGGCTGTATAAATGCATGTGTGTGTTTTTTTGTATGTGTACCAATGGTTTTGAATGCTTTCATTGTCCCCAAATTTGTCCATATTTTATGAATCTTAGCAGCGAAGAAAATCAACATAATTAATCTATGTGTTGATAAAGAGTTTGGAGAAAACTGGGGAGGGGTAAAATTGGGGGGGGGGGGCAATGGAAAAACTGGCGGGGGGGGGGGGCAAATTTCCCCTCATGCCCCCTTCCCCGCTACTGAGTAGGAAAAATACTTCTCTCATGATCAGTCTCATACACTGTGGTCATTTGCAACAGTACTGCTCTTCTCCTAAATGCAGGCCCCATCACCAAGGGGGAGGGGGCGCCTGGTGGGGCGAGCAATTGCCCCCACCCCCCCCCAAAAAAAAGCCATACATGTATTTAGCTGTTTTGATGACACACCGAAACAGTTCTTGTTTTTGTTAATATTTTTTTTTTTTTTTGCTTTCCCGCTTCAAAGCAGAAAAGCTTTGTTTTTGTTCTGAATTTTTTTTCTTTTTGCTTTTCCGCTTGAAAGCCGAAAAGCATTGTGTTTGTTCTAATTTTTTCTTTCTTTCTTTTTGTTCCACCCCAAATCCCAAAGGCTTTGTGCACTTATATTCGGGCCCTGCACTTTGTCCATAAAACAAACTCGTATTCTATTGAAACCTAACATATGTAAAGACCCCATAGGGAGTTTGTGTCCCGAAGAGTGACGCTACGATTACGTCGTACTGGGTGGCATGACGTCATCTTAAATGTGCAAACTTTAAGACCCTATATCTAAAGGACTGTAAGTCAGATTGGGTTGAAACTCGGTATGTAGGTAGACCGGGATGTGTTATAGGTAAAAATTGAGGTGACATGATCATGACGTGATGGTGTGATTTTATATCGATTTTTGAAGTTTTGGACCTTTAAGCCATATCTAACGAGCGTAATATGCTAAATTCAAAATTCTTTTTGTATTATGTTTGTTAGGTAACAGGTATATTCACAAAATTGTGAAATTTGTGTGACGTCATTACAACGTCATAAAAAATGTGATTTTTATGAAACACATATAAGGGAATGTCCGATCGTCATGAAATTTGGTGGGTTGGTAAATAATAGTACTAGTACACAAAATCTGAAATGACATCACGATGACATCATCGATAGGTTTTTTACGATTTTTAAAATATTTACAATTTTATTCTGCTTACAAAATTTAACACTTTTATTCATCCGATTGACTTCAAACTTGGTATACAGGGCTCGAATTTCATGAAAAAAAGCACTAGACAGCAGGTCTAGTAACCGAAGAATCTTACTGGACCTGAACTATTTTTACAAGACCTGTGTCATAAATAAGAAAAAAAAACACCAACATTTTGCACTACATGTATGTGACAGGAAGACAACAAAATGCTACATGTATTTACGAGTTGCCCATTTCCCGTGTGCGCTTGGCTAGTTCCCTGGAAAATTATTAGTCTAATTCTCTTGAAGGGGCACAGCAGTCCTTCAGTTAAAGAAAATCCAGGAGAGAGCTATAAATGCTCTCCTCAAATCTTTGAGGAGAGCAAATGGATTTTAAGGAGAGCGATAATTTGCTCTCCTTAAAATCCATGGATAAACGACGGTAAACATTGTTTTTGTTTTGTTTTGAATATCAGGATTTATTCAAGGGGCTGCATTATTATTAGTTTTGGCATAATAATATGCTCAAGTGGCTTAACTTCTTTCATTTTTGTAACTGTAAGACAAGGTAAAATTTATATAAACAAAATAACTAAATGGAGATTAATAAAAGGTTTGAATTCTGCTTACGCTTCCTTTTAACTCCATGTCCTGTTCATTGAACAGGCATAGCTCTAGTTTTTCTTTCTGTTCTATCCCAAATCGCATAGACTTTGTACACGTTTTGTTCCCTGCGGCATTTTGAACCTAAAACAAACTCGAATTCTAATGAAACTTGTCCCATGTAAAGACCCAATAGTGAGATTGTGACCTGAAGAGTGACATCATGATGACGTCATCATGGGTCACGTGACATCTTCAAAATGCAAACTTTAAGACCTTACATCTAGAGAACCAAACTATATCTATAAGTCTGATTGGGTTGAAACTCGGTGTGTATGTAGACCGGGATTTTGTGTGCAAAATATGCAGTTTGTGGGCTTTGACTTTGCGTTGCAAGCAAAAATGGCGCTGGTAAGACGTGTGAAGAAGCTGCAGATATATTGAAGGAAATTAGAGTTCGGCGCGGCTCTTCGAAAGCCAATATTCGCAAATTCTGTCATGAGAAAATGACATAAATGTAAAGAGCTAGGGCAATTTGCCAGGCAGTGACTCGATCCCAAGGACACATTAATATTCCAAAGTGCATTGCTTAATTGCAAAACCTGAATCAAAAAATGGTAGACAAGACTGTTGACCGTTTTGTCAGTGTCATGTTTTTGTAAAACAACACTCTAAAAATAAAGCAACTAAATCGTTTATCGCTTTTTATAATTTTTAAAAGAAAAAGGCATTTTTTTTTGTGACTTAATATTGTTTGACAAAACTGTAAAACGACGAAACTGTCAACAGTTCATTTACTGTTTTTGTTTTTGAGGAAATCCAAAATGGTAAAAACGAAATAACGGTATGTACCGGTACTGGGATTGGCTATGTCTAGTTTGGCTATGCTGGCCCAAAGGAAGAGGCTCCATGAAAGAAGCTGCCGGTCGTGGCAACACCCAGCACCCGGCACCCAGAGGTGAGGTAGGCTGTCGACCAGTATTGGTTTCTTGTGATGCCACTTTTATTGATTCTAAAGTCACTCAGTTTCAAGCAGGAAGACTGAAACACTTTGTAACACAATGGCAAGCAATCACTTCAGATAAAGATATCTTAGAATTCAATGCTCAAGAATGGGGATTTGTGGATGCAGAGATAAAACACTTGTTAGACAAACACGTTCTAGAGGAAGCACTTCCTGTTGATGGAGAATCTCTCTCTCAACTATTTTCCTCGTGCCCCCCCCCAAAAAAAATGGAACATTTGGGTTGATTTTAAACTTTTAACATGCATATTATTAAAATATATCCATTTCAAAATGGAAACTTTTGACATAACAATTAAACTGCCATCACCAGGTAGGGGGGGGGGGAGGAGGAGAAAATGAATCACATCAACTATTAAGAGCTCTTGGGAGCCTTTTTTGTCTTGATTCCTTTAAAAACGGAAATTGCTGGAAAACATGTCCACTTATTGTCAGACAATACAACGGCAATTGCCTACATCAATCACCTTAATGCCCTGGCATCAGAAATATGGGAGTGGTGTATCAAATGGAATGCGTGGTTGTCAGCAGGACATGCATGCTTTGAAAGTAGAAACTTTAAGGAGAGTGGTCCCTAAATAAACAAGTCTTTGAAACACTAAATATTGTTTTCGGTACCCTGGAAGTTCACCTTTTTGCCTCTCCCTTGAATACTAAGTGTATGAGATATGTATCCTGGCAAAAGGATCCCCAGCTGACTTTGTTGATGCATTTTCTCATTCATGGTCAGGTTTTTACTCTTACATTTTTCCACCTTGCAGTCTGATGGGGAGAGCTCTGCAGAAAGTGCAGCTGGAGAGATGCAGATCTTTGGTGATTGCTCCTTACTGGCCGACACAACCTCGGTCCACCCTGTTCACAGACCTCTTGTCCCAGGCGCCAGTACTCCTGCCACAGATGGACACACTACTAACATTGCCGTACAGCGACAAGTTACATCCTCTCCGAAAGAAATTAAGATTGATAGCAGGACTGTTATAGACTTGAATGGTATTTCGGTATTACCGGATAGTCACAGGTTTTTTTAAATACCGATCAAAACCGACTAATTATTCATGAATACGGAAACACAGGTGAAACACAGGTATGGAATTTCGATACCACAGTATTCTTCCTTAGTGTTCAGAATCTTCGCAAAAGCCTTAAATTCAAACAGAAAGACAAACAACCTCTTTGACATGTTTGATTCCATTCCTTGTGGTTCCAGGCATCCAGTTTCATGTCTGCATTGTCAATTACCGTTGACAGATAAGACACAATTGTCAAGCTCGACTAGAAAACCTGATACTTCAGCAGCTGCAATAATACAAAGGCCTTTAAAGTTCTGCTAACGCCGCCGTGTTTGCAGTTTTCTTTGTTTGTAAAGTGTCTGGACGGGAAGTTCAAACAACGTTTTACACATGGAAATGTTTTGACGGTCGTGACAAAAAATGGTCGTGTTAATTGTTTCTCCGTGGTTGTTTTAGAGATTTGAAATCTACATCATCATGCATTATTTTTGCCAAAACATAGTTCCCAAGAATATAAGCAGCAAGAAAAAAAACTTGTCAATCTTGGTTATGACCGCCAAACCTACAGGCTTCAGTCATGGAGCAAGATTCCGTGCTATATGCGTGCGAGGTGCACGTGCAAAGGGAAGGGACTCGCCTGAATTCACATGCGATGCTGAGCCATCCAATATGGGGAAATTGAGAAAAAATATTTCCAAGAAATCGCGATATCAAAAGCCATGATGTCTCAATTAAATAAAAGATACC